TGATGCAACTATTTATATTTATTTCTACTGTCCGAAAAGTTCATGTTTGCAGCTTTATTAGAAAACATAACTAAGTGTCCCTCTTTCACATTGTTTCATATTCAGGTCAAATCGTATAATACAGGATCAGAGAAGCGAAATCGGTCTGGCGGTTAAATTAGCGAAACAGCTGAAAGGGTTCTCTACTAATAAACAAAGAGATTCCAATATTTTTTTAAAAAATGCCCAAGTTCAGTAGAAATTTGTTTTATTTGAAAATAAACATTCATACTGAAATTTTTAATATTTTATTTTTAGAAGGTACGCCATTGCCTTATCAATGATTTATTTTCCAGCTATTGCGACTAAGTCATGTTTAGGTCGGGGATTGCCGAGGGCAATAATGGCTATAGGCATACAGACTGCATTGATAGGCTGTCAACCATTAGAGCTTTCAAGTGATGTCTCTATATAATCTAATGCAACACTCGCTGTATAGGAAGTGTTAGATTTGAAGACTATTCAGAAGGTGTCACTCCAAGTGTATGAAACGCTGTTGATTTGACTACGATGTTTTAAAAATCTACCAATATATTTTCTCACGTTGTTTATATAACCCCTCCCTGAATGTCATAGATTTGATAAAAGAAGGGAAATAGGAGCTCTTCGTTTCTAAAGTAAGTAAACTTTTCCAAAGGATTTGGATTGAAATGTCTTGTTGTTTTTAATGATTCAAAAAGGGGCCTAACAAGATTTTTATTCTTACTATACTACGAAACTTACACAATCGCCTTCACATTTAAGATTCAGAACTTAATGTGATTTATCATGACCAATTGAAAAGTAAGTTTTATATTTCACTAAATATTTGACTTTTTCCCTCAATATACGATGGTATTCCCCCACTGATTTTTATTCATATAAATCTTATTTTTCAATAGTGGTAGCTGAAATATGTGTTTTCTCCTTTTTAGTGCATTCTAAAATAGGATTTCCAAAATATTTTTATCAATCAATTAATTATTTAAATTTTAGCCATAAAATTTATAAATCAAATGCTTCTAACCTTCTATTCTTAGATTATTGATGAGGAAACTTCGGGAACGGGAGATAGGGGTGAACACGTGATCACACTTTCTTGTCACCAGCTCATGGTAGTCCAATGCTCAAATAAATAAGTATTGGAGCGATATAGAACCTCGAGACACTAGTTAAATGTCGGACAATTTGTTACATATATGATTATAATCTTCCCCCTTTTATTTATTTTTCTTAACTCTATATATGCAATAGTTCAAAGGCTATGCTGAATTATTTGAAACTAACGGATGTACCCGGCTTCGCCCAGGGTTTTACCCGAGTAAAGGTTTGTCTAATGAACATTTGTTAAAACAATTCTCTATAAACTTATTTAAAAAAATAGATATATTTTGATAATTTGAAACTCGTAAATTTGAATCTCTCGATAAAGTGAATATTTTTCCCGGTTCCTGTGTGCCGTGTCATCCTGAATTTTGTCTTTCCTAATTTTCTACATTACAAATTCATCGTTTTATCTAGTGAACATTTTTTCCCGGTCCCTTGAAAAATACTCGATAAGTTGAATAAAATCAATATTAATTGGTTCCCTCTGTAATTGTAAGTTAAAGGAATAGTATCTTCGCCTTGGAATTGTATCATTATTCTTGTCTCAAATAAATTGCCGTGTCATCCTGAGATAATCTTACTTTTGATAAATAATCTTTAAGATAATAAACTTAGTGATAATAAAACTAATAGATAAAAAACTTGTTATCATCGTCGCAATGGTGGCGCTGCTTGCGAGTTAAATCTACAAATCTGCAAATAACTCTAAGGATATTCAAGATATTCAAAAAATTATTTTTCAAAAACCTTCCCGGGGATATACCTAATAATATCCCAAAATTTCACGGCGATTGGATGTATGGTTTTTGAATCTATAGAGTACAGACAGACAGACATTCAATTTTATATCTATATATATAAAAATGAATGTATGTCTGTTTGTCCTTTATGCCTGACCAAACCACTCATTGGATCGCCATGAAACTTTGGGAAGTTATTTAGTATAGTACTGGGAAGGTTTCTAGCAAATAAAATTTTTGAAATAACTTTTCGCCTAGATATAATCAAGATAAATATTCTAATTTATCTGTTATAATTCAACAATCTGCTCTAAATATTATCATGATGATACGATGATTTTGTAATGTAGAAAATTAGGAAAGACAAAATTCAGGATGACACGGCAATTTATTTGAGACAAGAATAATGATACAATTCCAAGGCAAGATACTATTCCTTTAACTTCCAATTACGGAGGGAACCAATTAATAATGATTTTATTCAACTTATCGAGTATTTTTCAAGGGACCGGGAAAAAATGTTCACTTTATCGAGAGATTCGTTAGACAAACCTTTACTCGGGTAAAATCCGGGCGAAGCCGGGAATATCCATTTCGTAGCTACACCGTCTCTCCAAGAGGCAGTCTCTTATTAAAGGTCAATTAGAGATTCTTTAATAACAATTAGAATCTTCAATGAGAGACCACCAACAGGAGAAACAAGTTGATTCATGTTTTTAGGTGGTCTTTCTTAAGAGACTCTATTTACATATTTAAAATATGAAAAAATTAAAATATTTTAAAATTAAAATATTTTAAAATCAACATTTTCTTACTGTTACGTTTAATTACTGTTAATCTTCTATATATATAAAAATGAATGTATGTCTGTTTGTCCTTTATGCTTGACCAAACCACTCATTGGATCGCCATGAAACTTTGGGAAGTTATTTAGGATAGTACTGGGAAGGTTTCTAGCAAATAAAATTTTTGAAATAACTTTTCGCCTAGATATAATCAAGATAAATATTCTAATTTATCTGTTATAATTCAACAATCTGCTCTAAATATTATCATGATGATACGATGATTTTGTAATGTAGAAAATTAGGAAAGACAAAATTCAGGATGACACGGCAATTTATTTGAGACAAGAATAATGAAACAATTCAAAGGCAAGATACTATTCCTTTAACTTCCAATTACCGAGGGAACCAATTAATATTGATTTTATTCTACTTATCGAGTATTTTTTCAAGGGACCGGGAAAAAATGTTCACTTTATCGAGAGATTCGTTAAACAAACCTTTACTCGGGTAAAACCCGGGCGAAGCCGGGTACATCCATACAAGAATAATGATACAATTCCAAGGCAAGATACTATTCCTTTAACTTCCAATTACCGAGGGAACCAATTAATATTGATTTTATTCAACTTATCGAGTATTTTTCAAGGGACCGGGAAAAAATGTTCACTTTATCGAGATATTCGTTAAACAAACCTTTACTCGGGTAAAACCCGGGCGAAGCCGGGTACATCCATACAAGAATAATGATACAATTCCAAGGCAAGATACTATTCCTTTAACTTCCAATTACCGAGGGAACCAATTAATATTGATTTTATTCAACTTATCGAGTATTTTTCAAGGGACCGGGAAAAAAATGTTCACTTTATCGAGAGATTCGTTAGACAAACTTTTACTCGGGTAAAACCCGGGCGAAGCCGGGCGGGTCCGCTAGTATATATATATATAGATAGATAATACATTTAAAAAAAATTATTGTGGCTAATTTGAAATGTTCATACAATTCTGTGATAATGCTCAAAATTATTTATAACTTTGAGGTTTCTTACTACCTACTTATTATTATTATTATTTTTTTTGGAAGGTTGGACGCCTAATGCCCTAAAAAATGGTTTCAACTATTTCCTTCATTTGAAAATAAATATAGAAATTCTATCTCTAGTCTATCTCCAGCCACCTAATGTCTGATATTTTTTACATTAAAAATTATAGTAATACTAGCGGATGTACCCGGCTTCGCCCGAGGTTTTACCCGAGTAAAGGTTTGTCTAACGAATATTTGTTAAAACATTTCTCTATAAACTTATTTTTCTTTTATTTTTATTTTTCCGTTCTCCATTACTCTTCATGTTTCACCTTTCCATACCTCATCCTCAAAGTTAGAAATGTCGCTATTTCTCTTTGAAAATAAATTTCGATTTTTAAAAGAAACATTCGCGGTATAATTTTAATTTTCGTTTTACAATCATCAGCCGCGTTATATTGTATTTTAAACTTATATATATATAATAAAAAAATATATATATTTTGAAAATCAAACTCGTAAATTTGAATCTCTCGATAAAGTGAACATTTTTTCCCGGTCCTTGTGTGCCGTGTCATCCTGAATTTTGTCTTTCCTAATTTTCTACATTACAAAATCATCGTTTTATCTAGCGAACATTTTTCCCGGTCCCTTGAAAAATACTCGATAAGTTGAATAAAATCAATATTAATTGGTTCCCTCGGTAATTGGAAGTTAAAGGAATAGTATCTTCGCCTTGGAATTGTATCATTATTCTTGTCTCAAATAAATTGCCGTGTCATCCTGAGATAATCTTACTTTTGATAAATAATATTTAAGATAACAAACTTAGTGATAAGAAAACTTGTTATCATCGTCACAATGGGGGCGCTGCTTGTGAGTTAAATCTACAAATCTGCAAATAACTCTAAGGATATTCAAGATATTCATGAAATTATTTTTCAAAAACCTTCCCGGTGATATACCTAATAATATCCCAAAATTTCACGGCGATTAGATGTATGGTTTTTGAATCTATAGAGTACAGACAGACAGACAGACAGACATTCAATTTTATATATATATATTTACTAGTTCTATAAAATGCCAGATATCTACATGGTCTGGAAATATCTTGAAAATTGAGAATGAAATTTAAAAACAAATATAAAATTGCTTCTATCTGAAATACACTCCCCCATTTAATTTGAATCTAGTGTTGTATACCTTTATTTTTGGATGTAATCTAATGTCAGATACAACATATTAAGACAAAATTCCCCTAATTGCCATCTGTCATCTTGCCATCATGAAAATATGTAAAAAGAAAAAGGCCAACTACACGGCGATGTAGCTCAGATGGTAGAGCGCTCGCTTAGCATGCGAGAGGTACTGGGATCGATACCTAGCATCTCCATTTTTTTTAAACAAACAAAAAATTGCAAAGGTTTCAAATTTTTACTTTAACTCTTGGAAGAGCTCAGTGAAATGTCTTTAATTTATAACATTAAATCATATATATGTAATAACAAAACACTTAATATATATTAAATATATTATATATAAACCTAATATTTCTATATATTTAATCCTCTCCTTATATCAAGCCCTTTTTTCCAATAATTTGATCACTGCAATAAGTTCTGTAGAGATAAAATTTTATAATCTATATTATAAGAAACATGTTTTAAAAATAATTATGTATATTCACTTCGATGGATGGCAATTGAATTTATAATTATAATTTGCTAATAATAGCTTAAGAATAAAATAATATTTGCGGAAGAACATTGCTCGATGCACTTTCTTGAAATTGCATTCTCTGCACACCTATAAGCTTATGTTCATAGATTCTTTCAACACCCCTAAGCTATCTCCCTTAGTAAATGCAGGGTATATAAAACAATACATAATTTTTAAAAATATAGTCGACTTATTTTCAATCATCAATCTCATTAAATTGAAGATTATAAATACGTATATTTCCTATATCTATACAGTTAATTTCATGTACAACTAAGATATATTAATAAAAGGTTTGTGAGTGTGATCTGAAGTTATAATGAAAGGTAATATGAATATACCGAAATTTTTCACTGACACTGCAAAAAGAAAAAAAAAAGATGGAGATGCTGGGTATCTATCCCAGTACCTCTCGCATGCTAAGCGAGCGCTCTACCATCTGAGCTACATCCCCTTACAAAATAATATTTTTTCATAATATTTAATAACCGCTAATGCGATTGCTACTCAACCATGACATTACTGCGAATGCAAATCAAGGCGGTTGTTACTGCGAATGGTACACAAGTTTATCGCTACCGCGAATTCTATTTAAGACTGTCGCTACTGCGAATGCGATTCAAGTCTGTCGTTATTGTGAATGCAACTCGAGTCTGTCACAACTGCGAATTATATTCAAGGCTACTCTGTCGCTAATGCGATGGTATTCAAGACAATTCTGACACTATTGTAAAAGCTATGCAAGACAAGTCTGTCATTACTGCAAACACGATTCAAGACAAGATGGTATTTCTTTCAGATGATTTCTTCCTCTCTAGTAAGGAATGTCAAACTCAGGTAATGATAAAAAATACATAGAATTAAGTTTTATATTGCACATTAAATATATAATCAATTTTAATGAGAACTAGGTGAGGTTTCAGATGAATTACGAATATTCAATTTTTTATATCTCTTAATTTTATTACTTTTACTCTATATTAGGATATATTATAGTTTTATTACTATTATTATTTTCTTTTGGGCGTTTCTCCTTGCACGATTGAAGACAAGGAGAGGTCTCTAAAACCTTCTTTTGTCTTAGTTTATTTTTTTCATATTTTCGAAGAGGTTATTTATATTTCATGGTATAATTATGATCTGGGTTTCCCTTTGACGGAAATTTTCAAGATAAAGGTTAGAGATAAATAGTTTTCATACTCGAAAAACTATGAAAATATACAATATTGATTGTAGCTGAAATATTGTATATATTTATTAATAAAATAAGTAAGCAAATATTAAGCTCTCAACAATGTCAGAATCTTCATTGAATGATGAGAGCTTATAAAACAACCTCATCAAATTACATTCATAGTTTGGGGAAAATACCTATCCTGTCCCATCACATAGAATCTTTGATAATCTAACATGATTTGGCTAATTAATCAAAAATGCATTAATTTATTTAAACCGCATGTGCCTCAACTATAATTCACTACTTCATAGAATTAAGAATGTCTGAAACAATAGCTAACACTAATGAAACCTTTAAGATATTTTTCCCCCATTTGGAATTCATTAATATTTTCGTCCCAATTTCAAAACACACAATTTATTACAAATCATGGAAATTTTGGAGAATTTCTGACCTAAATCAGGCAAAAGATGATCCTAGCTGATTCGGTGGAAAATGATACCAAGACTGAATACATTTATTGATAGAATGCCCAATCTTTCACAGCTACAGAAGTAATCATTTTTATCCTATCGAAGAAATGGGCGAATATGTAAAATCAATATTTTTTTGTAGATTCATTTTGAGTTTTATTTTCTGTTGGAGAAAACAAACTTTTTAGTTTTAATTTTATTTTCAATCCCTTGTGTATTAAATTGAGCTGCTAAAATTCATTTAGGCGCAATATCCCAAGCTGGGATACCGCGTCCGATATATGTCAAATAAATTAATATTGGTTTATTCTCAACCCCTCCGTTTCATTCTATCAATTTCTGATGATAGATATTTCGTGTTTCCAATTTAATTGTTAATTACCTATATAGATAATGCACTGACAGAGTTTTAGGTTTTGAGTTTTAATCAACCTCCAAAAAAAATACTATATACCAAGATTTCCATTTTTTACTTCATGTGTCACACTTATTTTTATTTTCTAAATAGTGGTTAAATAATTTTTTTGATTAATACAATTTTCCAATCGTAGATTTTTTGCTTCCAAATTCTAATTTATTCATTTATCATGGGCGAATTGCTTTTTTTTCTAAACATGTGCGTTTGAATTATTATTTTGTATTGAGATTTCTAATGATAGATATTTCGTGTTTATTTTTTATTGTTAATTACCTATATAGATAATTATCTAACTTAGTTTTTAGTTTTAAAGTTTTAATCAATCTCCTCCACAAAGATATTGAACTATACCTAGCTATCTATATACAAAAGTTTTATTATCCGGTGTAATATTTATTAATATGTTATTATATATAATATATATATATAATTTTCTTCGCCTTTATTTAAAAATTTCATTTATAATATATCAAGATAATTTTACATATGCCTAAGATATATTAATAAAAGGTTTGTGGTTGTGATTTGAAGGTATAATGAAAGGAAACATGTAAAAATATGAATTTTAAACTAAAACTGCAACTGGACTTGACGTCTGATGCCTTGGGTAGCTTATTCCTTCTTCTGATGACGAAACATCCTTTCTCTCCATACTTCTCCTCATATAGTTAGTGTGTACTTTCTTTTCAATTCCATCAGTTTCTATCATACAGCTGTTGCGCGCGCGCTTCCTACTATTCTCTTTACAATCCCAAACATCCATTTCGGCTTTCCTCTTTCCATCCATCTGTATCTTACTCTATCATTTATTTTGTAGCTATTGCTCTGTTTTTTATTTTTCAATGTCCCTACTCTTACTGATTTCTTGCTCAACATGGAAATCTTCGTTCTAATCTCGCGATTTAAAAATATTCCAGCAGGGGATTTTTCCGTTCTAGTCAAAGGACTCAATCTATATGCATATAATGCTTTTATCAAAGAAAACTCAAGGGGTAATTCTCTTTCCTCCGAAATAATTCTTCTCATAGCTTTTTTTTATCTCTCTTACAGAGACTTCCGCTAGTCCGTTGCTATCTGGATGGCAGGCGGGGCTAAACATCGCATGTATGCCGTTTCTTTCGAAAAATGTCTTCATTTCATAACTTCTAAAAGGGGGCCCATTATCCATTACCGCCACCTCCGGGATACCATATCTCGCTAAACATTCTCTCAAAAAGTCTATGCAGAATCCCGCCGATGTATTTGGAACCATTTGACATTCTATTCAATTAGAATGCGCATCCACTAATATCAAAAAGGTTTTTCCCGCAAAATAGAAATAGTCAAGATGAATCCTCTTCCAAACTTTGTTTGGTGGAGTCCACTCAGTAAATTCCTGGTTTGGCAGCTTTGATGTGTTTTCAATACAAATGCTACAGCTTTTAGACAATTTTTCAATTTGCTCATCCATTCCTGGCCAATAGACATAACTTCTGGCCAGAGTCTCCATTTGATTTATTCCAATATGATTTTCATGAATGATATTCAAAACATATTCTCTTGAGGAATCGGGGATTATCATTCTATTTCCGAAAAATAGGCAATTTCTTACTATTGTTATCTCGTTTTTAATTCTAAGATAAGGTTTTATATCTACATATGAGTCAATATCATACTTATCGTACTTGATTAATTTATATTTTTTTTTCTAAGAGTTGGATCTTCTTGGGTTTTGTCTGATACCAAGACGTAATCTAATATTGAATTTTCTATTAATAAAATTTCTCCCATTTCCTCTTCCTTCTCCCTTTTTTCAGGATTTGGAAATCTTGAAAGAAAATCTGCAAAAGGTATTTCAGTTCCCTTAGTATATTTAATTTCAAAATTATTATTTTGTTGGACATTAATTTGTACCATATCAAAAAATACTATCCAGTCTTTTCCTATGAGAAATTTATTATTTTTAATATCTGTTACTATTAAGTTTAAATGGCCTATTTTATTTTTAAACCTTACTTCTACTTTACATTCTCCAATAGAGGACGCGCGTATAAACAGGTAATAAGCAGGTCTGAGGTCAGGAACTTGGATATTTTGGACATAACTGGCGAAAGATGATAAGTAATTATTGGTCTGAGCTGGATGTTCTCCTTGTGAATTCGCGTTAGGCCGTAGATGTATGAGATTGTGTAATTGTGTTAGCTTTTTCGATCTGTTTGGATACATTAATATCTTCAAAAATCTTTTTGATCTTCTTAGAATAATAATATTTGCTCATGATTACGGGGGGGGGGGGGGGGGGCTCCTTTGTCAGATTTAGTAATAACCATATTTGTATTTTGTTATTTGATGGCGGCTATTTCACCTTTTCTATTTGTGGTATCTTTCTTAGTTTATATCAATATGAAAAAAATATTATAGATAAGGGGATGTAGCTCAGATGGTAGAGCGCTCGCTTAGCATGCGAGAGGTACTGGGATCGATACCCAGCATCTCCATCTTTTTTTTTTGCAGTGTTAGTTTAAAATTTATATTTTTACATGTTTCCTTTCATTATACCTTCAAATCACAACCATGAACCTTTTATTAATATATCTTAGGCACATATGTAAAATCATCTTGATATA